GTGGGCCCTCTTGTCTTATTTAAGTTCTTAGAAGAAAGGATTTCAACTTTTTTTCCATTCAGTGTAATGTTAGCTATCAGTTTGTCATATATGGCCTTGGTTATTTTGAGATATGTTCCTTCTAAGCCCAGTTTGTTGAGAGTTTTTGTCATGAAGGGATGTTGAATTTTATCAAATGCTTTTACTGTGTCTATTGAGATTTATGATACAGTTTTTATTTTTGTCCTTCGGTTTGTAATGAATCATGTTTATTTTGTGTTGATGTGATACATTACATTTATTGATTTATGTATTTTAAACCATCCTTGCATCCGTAGGATAAATCCCAATTTATGAATATGGGTGCTCCAGTGTTCGGTGCATATATATTTAGAATTGCTAAATCCTGTCCCCGGATTTAGCGCTTTATCAGTGTGTCAGAGGTAGAGTGTGTTTCTTGTAAGCAGCATATATTTTGGTCATGGCTTTTTATCTGTTGTCTGTATCTTTGAGAATTTAATTCATTTACATTCAAGGTTATCATTGATATGCCTCGTTTTGTTTATATCATAGTCTTAATTGTTTTCAGGTTGTTTTGTGTATTTTTTGTTCCTTTCTTTTTATCCAGTTGTTTGTCATTGTGGTGTGGTGGTTTTCTCTAGTTATACCATTTTAGTTCTTTCTCTCATTTTTGCATTTGCTGTATCAATGCGTTTTATTCTTTCATGTGGCCTCATGATGGTAAATGCCATCCTTTTGCTTCCAGATTTAGGCCTACCTTGAGCATTTCTTGTCAGAACACTTAGTGGTAATCAATTCTTTCAGATTTTGCTTGTCTGGAAAAGACTATTTCTCCATTTATGAAGGATAATTTACTTGATATAATATATTTGGGTGGCAGGGCTTGTTTTTTTTTTTTTTTTTCTTTTTACACTTTTAACATATTATCCCATTCTCTCCTGGCCTGTAAAGTTCCTGCTGAAAAATTCATTGTTCGTCTGATGGGAGTTCCTTTATAGGTGACTAGATACTTTTTTGTTGTTTTTGCTGTTTTTAGATTTATCTCTTTTCCTTTGACTTTAGACCATTATGAGTATAATGTGTAGTAGAGAAATCTTTTTGCATTGTATCTGTTTGGAGACTTCAGCACCTTCTATATTTCAGCTGTCTATATTTCTTGCTAGACTTGGGAAGTTTTCATCTATTATTTTGTTAAACAGGTTATCAAACTATTTTCTCTTCACCTTCTGGGACTCTGATAATTCAAATATTTTGTCATTTTATGGTGTCCCACAGGTCACTAAGTCTTTGCTCATTCTCTTTTATTTTGTTCTTTATTTTTGTCTTTCTGGGATATTTCAAAAGACTTGTCTTCAAATTCTGAGATTTTTCTGTTTGATCTCGTCTATTGTTATTCTTCAGTCCCAGTATATGTTTGATTCTTTTGGTATGGTATCTACCTCTTTGGTAAATTTCTCAGTCATAGTCTGAATTATTTTTCTAATTTCTTTATATTACTTTTAGAATTTTCTTTTGCCTTAGTGAGGATTTTTAGAACCAATTTTATTTTTTGCCTGCGATTTCATGAATTATTTTTTGATTGGTATCCTTTGCTGGAGAATTATTGTGTTCCTTTGAAGATGCTATATTCTGATATGGTTTGTCTGTCTCCCCACCCAAATCTCATCTTGAATTGTAACTCCCACAATTCCCACATGCCATGGGAGGGACCTGGTGGGAGGTAATTGAATCATCAGAACACGTCTTTCCTGTGCTGTTCTCGTGACAGTGAATAAGTCTCATGAGATCTTATGGTTTATAAAGGAGAGTTCCCCTGCATGACTTCTCTCCTGCCTGCTGCCATGTAGGACAAGATGTGCCCTTGCTTCTCCTTTGCCTTCTGCCGTGATTGTGAGGCTTCCCCAGCCATGTGGAACTGAGTTCATTTAACCTCTTTACTTTACAAATTACCCAGTTTTGGGTATGTCTTTATTGCAGCATGAGAACCGACTAATACATATTCCCTTGCTTTTTGATGTTTTCTGTGGTCTAACATTGATATCTGCACATTGATATAACAGTTCTTTCTTTCAGTTTTTTGAATTTGCTGTCATAGGGGGCACTTTTTCCTCAGGCTGAATCTATGGTGTTGATGATTATGGCACTTTGGCCTTGATTCTGGGTATATCTAGTAGTGTAGTCTCTGTGTGATTTCTTTGGCTGTAAATAGTGTCAGTGGTATCTGTTATTTTCTCAGTGGCTTAAAGTGATGTTATTAATGGAAGCTGTGGTGCAGTTTTTCTGGAGACTGGTATAGATAGGTTAGTCTTTGGGCCCCAGTGGTTGCAATGGTGGGCTAAGTGTACCTGTTCTTTGGCCCCAGAGTAGCGTATGCTGGTACAATTGGTTCCGGGAAGGCTGATTTTTGGGCCTGCAGGTAGTTTACTTAGATGCTGACAGTTGCAATAGTGGGCTTGGCAGGTGGGCACGTTCTTAGGCTTCTGTGCAGCTAATGTCATGTGGGTGATACCAGTGGCAGGACAACCACATGGGTTCCAGGTAGTGTGAACTGGTGTTGCGGTGGCTGCAATGAACTGGATGGGACAGTCTTCAGGCCTGCAGGTAGGTGTCAGCTATGGTGGTAGTGGCGGGGTAGGGTAGGTTCAATCTCAGGCCCTTGGGAAGAGTTTTCAGGTGCCAACAGTATTGGCAAGTCTCTGTTTTCCATACTGTAGGCTCTGGTATGTAGCAGGGTGTTGAATCCAGGTGGGGTGGGCTTGTTTTCAGGTCTGTGGTTGTATGGGCTCTGGTAGGCAATGCCAGGGCAATTATCAGGCCATTGGGAGGATGTTCAAGTGAGGAGTGGCAGTGGCTGCGCTGCTGTCCTGCCATTGGCAGGGGCAGTGCCACCTTCGGAGATAGCAGCGTATGCTGGGGGGTGGGAATCTGCGTTACTTATGCCTTAGCCCCAACAGTGCTCACTCCTCAGGCCCCACTGTGGTAGCTGGCACCTCACTTGCTTCTTGGTCCTGTGCACATTATTCCGTGATTGCTTCTGCCTATGCCACAGGGGCAACTGCTGTTGCTTCTCTTGTACTTCAGTCCCAGCATCACTGGCCCTACAATAGTGCATAGTTGTTTGGTGGTAGCGTTCTAAAATGACACATTGTGGTGGCTGCTTAGGTATCCAGAAATGTGTGGAATCCAGCGTGGGTTTCATCCTGGGATAGTGTTGTCATGCAATCTCTCAGAAGCTCCCTGTGTTAGTTCAAAGGCCCATAGGGTTGAGGGGCTGTTCTGTGGCTGGGATTGCTGAACTCCATGGTGGACATTGAGACTTCTGAGTGTCTCTCACTATTTCTTTGTATCAGGAATCTCTTGGCTCCTTGCCAGTAATGGCAGAGCAGGACATCTTCACTTCCCTCCTCTACTTGCTTTTTGTATTGCCTGTTACTTTTCTGTTAAATTTTAATGTTTTTTGACCTATTCAAAGTGTGATTATCTACTCATGATTTCTGGTACTTTTAGTGGAGAAGGCAAATGTAAAGTACCTCTAGTCATTCATGTTAACACCCTTCCTCTTATTTATCACAGTTGAAGCAAAGAACTTGAGACCATATATTGCTGAAAAGAGAGCCATATAGACAGAAAAGTTTAGAAAATACCACTTTTGAAGTCTACTGTGAACAATTAGCAATATAGTTTCTTGTAAAACATAATTTCCCTCACTTAAGCCACGGAGCTTATTTTTTGCTGTATTACTATTTACTAATGTAAGAGACTGGGAATATATTTATGAATTTTAACAAGTATTATAAAAATATTAGTTTATTAATGTGAAATGCTTAAATGTAAACATTAAAACCATTTAAAAAGAATATTTGTACAATGTTAATTTCAATTTAGCACAAATACTACTACATATACTATATAAAAATGAAAATAATCAGTTATATTCATATACTAAAATTAATTCAATTTTTCTAGCACCTTTATATTAGATTTTGGAATTTTTTACTTGTGCAAAAAGATAATGCACCAAAGATGAAAGTTACTTTCACTAACTAGTTTTCAGTGTGAAGTGTGACTGGTAAATTTTATGAACTACTTCTTTAGACGTTTTTATTTCTACTCAAAATTATAATGTCATATGTCTTTTGTCATATTGTTGATGTTTATACAAACTAACAATCTGCTTCATTTTTTTTCATTTGTCAAATGTTTTGGAAAATATAATTCCTTTTAATGCCTTCACAGAGCATTATAATGAAAATGTTGCAATTAGGTGCACATTGTATTTTCAGCATTTTAGAAGAAGACATTCTGTACAAACAACCAAAATACAAATTTATTATTCTTTAATATCTTTTGACTCTGAGCCTTAGTAACTCTTAAAGTTGTCCATATCTGTTTTGTAACTTTTTTGACCTTTATAAGAAGTTCATGTATTCATACTAAATTATAGATACGTGCAAGTATTTAAAGGTTGGTTTATAAATGCTGGGGAGTTTATACCACTAAGATGGACAAAGTTATTTCTAATAATAAGAAAGAAGAAAATAGTTTTTTGCTTTTGTTATTTATCTTCCCTTTTTTGCTTTTTTGGGGGGGGTAAATAAATTGTCTCAATACAATCTATTATTTTTAGAGCTAAAATGGACAGTATTAAGAAAAGCTAATATAGTCCTGCCATTTTTCTTGGGAGAAAAGTAAGTCCCAACAAGCTGAGTAATAGCTGAGAAAAGTTCCCTGGTTTGTAACTCAGGTCATCTCCACTCTACCATAACTTGCTCTTCCCTCATAAGGAAAAGACAGAACACTTATAATGAACAAGTAAGAAGCGCCATCAGAGTGCTGTAGTGTGTTTTCTTTTGTTTTCTTTTTTTTTTTTTTTTTTTTTCCTGAAAACAAACTGGGGCCACACCTCCATGCTTATCATACCTCCCCAACAAGAAAAGTGTGGTCTTCTGAATCATCACCAGTTGCGCATTCTGAGCCCTCTACTACTTGGAGCTTCTCTACCCAGATATTGACAATTACTTCACTGTGTGGAGCCAGCTGGCACAAAATTGATTATGTTCTTGTTCTTATCAGGCTAGAAGACTGCACACCGCACTCACTAAACCTGTCAAACTTGTTTCCTTTCTTGCTGCGGTGACTGTCATTATTTTCCAGCCTCCCGGTCCTAACCTGCTGATACAGATCAGATGGTGGCTGAATAGAAGCTGCCCTAGTCCCGGGTTCATGATGTACGCGTAAGTATTCAGCTTTTCTCAGTAAAGGTTATCAATGGGGACAGAGGTTTACAGCTCCTGAGACAGGCAGTACAGATGTTGGCTGGTAGACATTGATTTAAACATTAGAGTTTTAATGTGTGCTATTGTATATTAAAGTTTTATTGTTATTGTTTTTAAATGTCAAAATTTTTTTGAACAACAGAGGCCAATGTGGTTTTTTGTTTCTAAATAAAAGAAATAGAAATGATATGAGGTAATAAGTTAACTACATTAATATTTAAAACATTTAGAAAAACCTATACTTCAAAGAATAACGTGTTTACTATAGCCCATTTACTTTTCCATGTTCCATAGCATGGTATACATTTTTGTCATATGTTGCTTATTGAAGTATATTCTGGGAAAATGAAAATACGAATTAAGAGGAGAGTCTATTAGAATTTTTATTTGTTTAACTCTCATAGAAAGTATGATAGCAATGGAGTTATTGCATATATCATGAAAGAAATGATTAAAATTAAAATACTCAAATGTAAAAAATTATAAAATTAACAAAATCTAGACTCTGTGACATTTGTCATAATTGAACTCCAAAATAATTGATTAATTATTGAATTTAAGGTAAATAAATTTGCATTATATATTTATGTTTAGGTAATATTCAGGCTATTGTTTTATAGACTTCAAAAGGAATAACTGGTATTCAATGGATGATTTCATTCAAACTTGTGCTTAGTCTACCCTTGTTTCTTAAAAAGGTTTTTGATCTTTCTACAGACAGAAATTTCCCACATATTCTGCACTGACTGATGTTTCCAACTTAATCATGATTTTGTGATAATTTTAATTGTTCAGTCATTTGATTTTGTCTTCAATTAACTTAAATATTTAAAGCCTGTAGGCTCTGGCACTCTTAAACAATGAGTGTTCCTGCCCTCCCTAATTTACTTTCAAATTACAGCATAAGCCTGAGTAAGACTATTCATTTCATGCATAAATCTCCCACATAGACCCTGTCATGATGGCATGATATAGCATATTATCTGTACTTCTTACTAACTACAAGAAAGTACATTTCTTATTTACCAAGATAAAGACAGAATAAGACAAAATGTACAGTAGAAAAAACTTTTATGTTTAACTAACATTTATATAAATATGATATACTAAAAATCTGTTTAAAAATTTAGCAAAAAACTTGAACTTCTCTTATTCTAATTTATTTTAGAATTTTTCAGTATGTGTTTTCTATCAGCCTGGGTCTCCTCTTTATGGCATTATCTCTAAACACTCACTTTTCTACTTTAAAAAGTATCATTACCACATGAAATTTCTGTATTAAAGCCTCATCAGCTTTGATCCAGAGTTTATTATAGTTCTGAGGAATTTTTTTGTTTTACTTTTAAATTTGACATATAATAATTGACATATTTATGGGGTACATAGTGATATTTCAAAGCATATAATACATAGTGATCAGATTAGAGTAACATATCCATCATCTCAAACATTTATTATTAGTTCTGAGGATTTAAAATATTCTTGCTAATTATATTTCAAATTAGATCTGCTTTTAAGACAAATATTCTGTCAAAAAATATAGATTATGTATAAAGATAAGAAGCTTAGACAATGGGTTTCTTGAATTCGTTAGTAAAGGCATTTTGCCCAAGGGGCTAGTCTCAAAGAATCAATGAGTCAGATAGACTATAGCTTCTTAGCAAAAGCCCTGTCTTTCTCGTTTCGTTTTTAAAAATTTTGGTGAAGCAGAAAGAGTACCAGCATTTAGATGTGTTCAAGATCCAACTTTGGACTCATTTATCTGGTACTTCTCAAGACTTCACTTTTATCTGTGAAATGTGGGGAAGGTTTATAAGTAGATGAATAAGGGGAAGGGTTGCCACCATTAATGGGACTTGAAGTAATTTTTGTGGATAATGAAAAAGCTATTTTTTGGTTTATTGCTTTATTCCTTGGTTTATTTTGGTATAATTCATTTGATGTTATTGTATTTAAATAGTAATAAAATAAGATCTGTATTAATTTTTTTTATATTTTTCCTATATCTTAAGTATTAGTATAAATTTTCTATTATGGATATATGATTCAGTTTCAGATATGTGATTCAGATATATGAGTATGTGTACCATGCCATGATGTTGAACATTTCTAACTGCGGGTTATGGTCAAAAATATTTTTTAAAACACTGCATTAGATAACCATGAAGTCCCTTTGAATGTAATTCTATGATTTCAAGGAGTTAATCACTGGTTTAGAAAGGCATTCATTTTCTTAAGGCACTAGAGAACTATTTAAATTATCCCACATTGTAGATTATTTAAGTTTTTTTCATGAGTCCCTGTACCTGGAGCCCTTTCCAAGTGAGGCAGAGATAAGAGAGATGGTTATCATCAAGTTGAGACCTTTGTGGTGAGGCAAATCAATAAGCTACATTCTGATGGAATATTGTGATCAATGTAAAAAAAACAAATACTGACTTACTGCTATGGGGGCGCACATTCAATCTTATAAAAACTTCTTTGTATACCTAATAGCTGTGTTTAATTTTTAAAAGCAAGTAGAATTAGTAATATGAGAAAGAAGGTATTCTGGGCTGAGAGAACGTAGTACTTTCAAGTCCTTACGTAGTCCTTGAGAACGTAGTATCTTAAGGGTCATGAGACTTGAGATACACTCACAAATAGATGTTGGAAGTTGTCAGATGAAGCTAAAGTAGTCATTCTGCATATGAAGGGCCTTTTGCAACAGGTTAAATTTCCGTGCTATATAATAAAAGTTGAGTTAAAATTTAAGCAAGAAGAAAAAAATGATAATGCAATTTAGAACCATTGGAGTGGACCAGTGCAGCTTGCTGGTGCTATTGTCACTTTTTGTAGAACTAAATCACGGGCATGGCAGAGAGACTGCCCGTGTATTTGTTTTTTCAGCTGTCTACAATGAATGTTCCTCCTGGCATTTAGTGAGATCCCTGTGGTCTTTCTTTCAAGACATAATCAAAGTTACTGTGAAATTTTTCTCCTACCTTCACATCTTAATTGTTCCTAAATTATAGCCGTCCTCTCTTCAAACATATATAGCACATTGTGTATAGTTCTATTGGCACTTTTCTCTTCCTATGCTTACTTGTTTCATTTTTATTTATCTGCCTAAACAGAGAGCTCCCTCCCTTTATTGCTAGTGCTAAAAACGTTGTCAGTCACATTGTAGACTCTCAACGTTTGTACATTGACTTATGATTACATATGCTAAAACCAAAGAACAGATACTGAGAAAAAAAGGAAAGGTTAGGAGTAAATGAAAATTTCAACTTTTCCTGTTTATTATATATCTATGCATATACATATCTTACATATCTTCTCAAAGAAGGCTTGTGAGATATTTGAGATTTAGTAATTCAGAAAGTAAGTAAAAAGCTGAAAACTAGAGAGAGTGTATTTTAAGTAAACTTAAGTTGTGGTACTGATGGAGATTTATTGTTGAAGAGATAAAGACATCAGATAGATGCTTACAGACTAGATTTTAAAGTTTCATGTATTCATTAAAACAACAAATACTTATTCTAGCTTACTGTATACTAGTAGCACATTATACACATATGTATGTATCTACATATATTATATGTAGACACGTGCTGTGTGTATATATCCTGTGTGTAGAAACACATATCAGATGCATAGAAACACATAGACATGTATATGAATAAAACAAATAGAATTTCTACTTTTATGGTGTTTATAACATCATAGGAGGATGAGGAGGAAGCATGATAATTAAACAAATGTATGTGAATTGTGACTTTGATAAGTATAAGGTAAACATTTTGTACTTTTCCAAAAAAAAAATTGCTAATTTATTTCTTTAATGGCTAGCTTTTTAAAACACAGATCTCCAGTTTATACAACACAGTGGCTTATGCCTGTAATCCCAGCACTTTGGGAGGCCAGGGCAGGTGGATAACGAGGTCAGGAGTTCAAGACCAGCCTGGCCAAGATAGTGAAACTCCATCTCTACTAAAAATACAAAAAATTAGCCGGGCTTGGTGGTGGGCGACCGTAATCCCAGCTACTCAGGAGGCTGAGGCAGGGAATTGCTTGTACCTAGGAGGCAGAGGTTGCAGTGAGCCGAGATAGCACCATTGCACTCCAGCCTGGGCAACAGAGCAAGGCTCCATCTAAAAAAAATATGTGTATACACACACACACACACACACACACACTATGATCTACAAGTGGGAACAATATGACATTTCCCCATTTGTAGGTTAAAAAATATCATTAAATTCTGGCAGTTTTATGTGGTTCAAGCTTATGAAGTCTTTTGGTCTTGTTTTATTTTTTGTAGACTATAATATATAGAATGACTAATGCAGCATTCAGAATGCATAATTTTCAAAACTAAGTATCAAGAATTGAAAAATCTTTTGTACTCTTAAAAAAAAATACTGTCATAGATACTTAGAATGTCAAACAACTTTGAAGACACATTCCAGCAAGTAAGATAAAAGCAAGCTGGCAAGCATTAACTTCTGAAAATAGAAAAACAAAACAAACTCAGTGCAAAACAGAGTATAGGCTGTGTCTAGATACTATTGTCAGCAAAAAGAAAAAAATAAAATCTTGTTAATAATTTGATCTACAAGGTGCCAAACAACTGCCTTAACTCTTATATCTACTACTCTTATGCCCACTGACAGATTCTCATATTTGCTTTGCACTGCTTCTTTTTATAATTAGGCAAATAAACCTGAACAGGCAGGAGGACCCCAAATGAATGAATGAGGCCTTTAATGCAATACATTGATGTCAAATAACAAGAGAAATCAATGAATCAATACAAATAAAAGAATCTACAGCTTCATCTTTTATTTTATTATTATATTTTTTAAGATGGGGATTCTGCTCTTTGCCCAGGTTTTGCTCTGCCGTCATCGCTGCTCACTGCGACCTCTGCCTCCCAGGCTCAAATGATGATTCTCCTATCTCAGCCTCCACAGTAG